GCACGGTTCTAATTGGTAAGTGTACACTCCTTCAAAATTTCTTTCTTGATGATAAGTCAGATTGTAGGAGATCATAATGTTAATCAAATTCTGTAACATTTCCTTCTCACTTTCACTGTACAATTGGGTATTGACCTTTAAAAATAAAAAAAAAAAACAATTATTTTTGTTATTTTATAATATAAAAACAATTTAAAAGTAATAAAACCATAGAATTACAACTAAATTACTAATTCTAATTTATTCTTATACATATAATTAGAGCAACCAAAAATATGCACTTGCATACTTTTGCCAGTAAAATTTGGTGTGATTAAGATGTTTGTCCGTTAAACTAAAAAATTGCAATATTAGACTTGATTATTTTGTTTGGGGTTTGACTTTTTGTCAAGCCTAATATTGAATATTAGACTTGATTATTTTGTTTGTTGATTATTTTATTTTGTCTTGACAATTTTTTCATAGTGTCAATTTTTTCATAGTGCAGGAAAAATATCAAATGTTCTAATTTGAAACCAATTAGACACACTGTTCCCCAAAATTTCCAAATCATTTATGAAACTGATAGTTTTACCTTGTAGTTAAAGGTGTAAACCAGCACAAACGCTGGCAGTGATTGCACCTTAAATCATATTTGCTAAAAATATGATTTAAGGTGCTGCAAATTGCTGAACTTACACTTCATCTGAGAACATGCTAATACATGTGTTCTTTGCAAATTGTTTACAATTTTTTTTTGCAAATGGTTAATTTTGAATGCAACACAGTACAATCTTCATTTTTAATATTCATTAAAGCTTTTTTCTGTTGAGTACCGGTATATACCAGTATAGTAGATATATTGAGTACCAGTCAAGCGCACAGGCACTTCAGTACGGCACCTGTGCAGACATTCTTATCTACGTTTCTATTAGGAAGCAGTTGAGTAAGAATTTGTGAGCTTGAAATCTATATGTCCTTTACAAGTAATTTATATTGGAGGTTTTTCGAGTAGTGATTCTTGGTTTTTCACATGATTTTCATGGACCAATGCCATCTGTTGACTTGATGTGGTAAATCATATAATGAACCATTGTTTTAGACATCTTTAAATATGCCGCTATCATTCATTAAGCTATACTGTTTTTAAATGTTGTACTTATGCATCTTTGCAAAAGATGTTGTAAACTTTTTAAAACTTAAAAAAATTAAACTTAATTAAATTAAACTTTGCTTGATTTATTTGGGATGTCTTCTATTAAAAGGCAATTAGTTTTCAACTCCTATATGTGGATAGCAAAATTTTCTTAAAGGTGGATAAGCAAAATTTTCTTAAAATTCTTTAAAGATAACGATGATTAAATTACACATGAATTTAATGTATACCAAGCATATAAACATTTTCTTATTGGTTAACACATAATCATTTTCTGGTTGGGTAATACGTAATCATTTTCTTATTGGTTGATACATAACCATTTTCTTATTGGTTGATACATAATCTTTTTCTTATTGGTTGATACATAATCATTTTCTCATTGGTTGATACATAATCATTTTCTTATTGGTTGGTACATAATCATTTTCTTATTGGTTGATACATAATCATTTTCTTATTAGTTAATACATAATCATTTTCTTATTGGTTGATACATAATCATTTTCTTATTGGTTGATCATAATCATTTTCTTATTGGTTGATACATAATCATTTTTCTTATTGGTTGATACATAATCTTTTTTTTTTAGTTGCTCTTCTTATATAATTTATTCTATACAATTTTAATATTTGAAAAAATGCAAAAATATGTAAAAATATGCATCAAAGGACTAGACCGAGCTATCAACCCTGAGTAAAATAAGGAAAAATTTTAGGAAAAGAGAAAGAATAAAATAATTAAAAACATATATTGAACAGATGTTCAGATTGAACAGAACAAAAACAAAAATACTATAGTAACTTCATGTTAAGCTACACAAATTATGCATACATATATCCATCCATCAATCCATATATGCATCAATACATACATACATACATTAACACATACATCAATACATACATACATACATTCACACATACATAAATACATACACATAGAATACACAACAATCTTAAAAGCTGCTAAACTATACTAGCTCATATCAAATACCCTGCTGCAACTTGTCTTACTTGACAAGTAAGACAAGTTGCAGCAGGTTAGATTGCTAAACTTTGTGTTTGATAATCATTTGGTAAAATTGGTTAAACAAATATATTATTTTAAACCAAAGTGTTATTAGAAAACATACCGGACGTAAATTAGGTACTGTTAAGCAAAATAAGAACGGGATTAAATCAAGTATGCCAGTATTCAGAGAACAATCTTTTCTCATTTGTAAAGGCATTCCATTGACCATCATCTGATATGTTTGCTGATTGTGTGTAGTCTTCAAGTAGTTCTAAATTTGCGCATAAATTAAACATAACATTTAACATAAATTAACAAAAATCAAACATGAATTAAACATAGATTATCCTAGTCATATTTTTAAAATCCGGAAAATGGCTTGGAAAAGACATCCAGAAAAAATCTGGAATTTGTTTTCCCTAATTTTCTTTGCATGTATTGAAAATATTTTGGATATCTGGAAAAACTAAAAGTTGAAAAAATATCCGGAATTCCGGAAATATCCGGAAAAAGATAATCCCTGATTAAAACACAAGTTGTTATTTAAACATATTATTGCTTGCATTCCGTAACAATAGTTTTATATAAATATAGATATATAATTTTTAATTTAAATAAAAACCACACATTGGTTTATTTACAGCTCCGTAGGTGTTTTTTTTTTTTTTTGATTCTCCTAAAATGTTCCACTGGACTAAAATAAAAAAGAGATTTGTGAGATTTTAGCTCAATTGAACAATACTAACCTGCGCCTTATTGACATTAAAGTCTTGAAAAACTTTCATTATTTTAAAAATTCAGTTTTTTCATTATAAATTGAAAATAGTTTATCCAAGAAACTTTATTTAAGTCTCAATTTGTTCACTATTTTCTTTACCTTTAAATTTTTACCATATTGTAATTAAAATCTATAACTTCAAAGATATTTTGCACATTTTTAAGAGATTGGAATTAATAGAAAAGGTTTTCTTTAGAAATTTTCTTATTGTTTTCAGTTCTTTAAAATAATATTCTGTTCTTTTTTGGTTTAAAGTTTACTAATTATTAATAACTTTTTTTAAAACATAAATAACTCTGAAATAAGACATATTGAAGTTTGGTTTCTATTCATTAGGGTTATTAAGTCTAACTATTTAATATTTACTTTTTAAGTTAGTTATACTGATTTTTTGAGTGATGGCTTTATTTAATGCAAAATCTAAAGAGAAAATGAATTTAAGGCAGAATGACAAAATCTATATAAATGGCTACATGTGATTAAATTCTTAGTAGTAAGTTACCATCAAATAACCAAGTGTTACTTTTATTTTACAAGTGTTTATTTTCAATATCGAATTAAGCTAAATACAAAATAAGTTGTAAGAATAACAATGCAGGGTTTTTTAATTTTTTTGGGAAATAGCAAAAAGAAATTTCCCAACAAAATTCAAGCTATTGACTGGGATGGAAAATTACTACCTTGTAGGTAAAAAAACAACAACAGAACAATTGGTAGGAGTTTCACAATTAGTAGTGCAAAAAAGAGCAAAAAAAAAAAAAGTAAAAGCACTTGCTTTTAAGCAATATGTTTTGATACTAGACAGTAGCGGTCAATAGTAATGTGGCCAATATTTGCAACATTACCTGTTGCAAATATTGGCCACATTAAGGGTGCTTGTATTTATTTAGATAGTAAACAGGGATGAACCTGTTGCATCTAATATGTTGCTAGCACATTTTGGAAACAGTGTTGAAAATTAATGAAAATATCTGCCTCATTGAAAGCCATCTTACATCGAACATCTTGTCTTTTAGAAAGTTATCTTTCATTGAAAGCAAAATATCCCACCCCCAGCCAGAACTCATGATAACTGTATATAGCTGACCCAGAGAAATGGCTGGGTGCATATGAAAGCCCTTGATGTCAGGATTTCAAAAATATAAAATTTGAAATCTAACTATTTTGTCTCGGAAAATAAACTGAGTTTTTATTTTTATTACATTACAGCAACTAGACAAATGACAAAATACCCATTTTTTGCATTTTTACAGCATCAAAAGTTTGAGTTAGTGATAATTTTATTTCTTCAATGATATCATATGTATTCATTCATTTTACAGCACTGGTTTGATAAAAATAAACAATAATACATTCTAACAAAAAGACTGCAACAAAAAAAATGCAAAACTTTTTTAATTCTTGAAATAAGTCTTCTGCTCCTGTTTCAAAACTGCCTTTAAAGATGCTTGCTGTTAAAGTCAACTATGCATGTTTGAAGTTGCCTTCCATATTCTGAATGGGTTGATGGTCTCTTGTATCTTTGCCAGTGTTAATGAAAGTGATGGTGCATAGCTTCTGTCGTTTGTTCACTGAAGATTCCCAAAGCAGTATTTTTCTTTTAGATGAACTCCTTCACATGAAAAAATGCTGCATGCAGTTTTGGAGTCACGCTTCCAGATGGCATTGCCATATATGCTTCTCTGAATAAGTCAATTTATCTAGAAAAATCAGAAGATAATGTGGGCCTAAATCAAGCACTGACCACAGCTTCAAATTTCAGGAAAGTGTTGATAATGGGACAAATATAAATTGAGGATGTTTTCTCTGCAAGATTTTGCAACAAATCCAGGTTCTTCAGAAGCTTGTGACAATCATTTCCAGCAAATTGTCCTCGGTGGATAGGTTGTTATTTTATGTGAAGAGCATCTAGCCACTTTTCAGCATGCAGCCAAATTGACTTCAAGATCTTGAAGAAGTGATTGACAACTCCAAGCAGCAGATGCAATTCCATAGGTGGAATTAGATCCAAAACCAATTGCTCATCATCCAAGCAAGTAATGGAGGATGAACCACATTTTCGAATACTTTTGCCTTTTTCCTGTCACGTCCTGCAGCATCAAAACCTTGACAGGATGATTTGAAAGATCCAAAGGTGTGAAGACTTCCAGATTGTGCAAGGTTATTTGATGGGACATGCAAGGATGTGATGATGAGTGAAACTGAAGTCCACAGAGGATGTTGGCCAGCTACAGATCACAAGAAACAACAAAATCCTTAAGGTTAGGCTTGATGAGAAACAGAACATTTTGGACATTCAAATAGGTTTTAGATAAATCTTCAGCAATTGCAATGATAAGCTGACGATTGCAGCCGCTATCTTTGGAAGAGTTTGTAGTCAAGTTTTTCTTACATGGAGGAGGATCATCTTCACAAGGCATCTTCTCAATAGCTCCCAGTGTGACTTTCAGAAACCCACTACCACTATCAATGCCAAGTTTGATTAGTGGCTTGGTGAAGACTTTTCGTGACAAAAGAACTTCATTTATCAGTTCTTGCAGATCTTTACAGTGAACTACAAGTTTCTTGCCAATAACTCCATTGCCTTGTTCAGGTAGAATATCTGTTTGACCAAAAAATCTGGCAAGTCAGTTTCCTAATGCAAAAAATTCAGAGCGAATGTTTGGCTCAGTAATTCGGACTGCTGAAACTTGGTTCAAAGTTGTCGCTAATTTTTTCACGTTTGTGTTTGACAATCCAGTATTGATTTGCATGTGAACGAGATCCCCTGCAGTAACTAAAGATGTTGATCCAAAGAGTCTCCTTGCACTTGAAGGACCTTTAAGTAATTATTTTGGCAATTTTATTTAAATTTTACAAGTTGTCACTATTAAAGTAATTAACTTTTCTCAAGAATTACCAACATTTTTGGCATTGGAAACTAATAGAATTGAATACATTTAATTATGCTACAATAAAGTCATTTTTACATGGGGTGACAAATAAAGGTCGTCCACCTTTAGTTTGAGCCAGACGAATTGTTCCTTGAGGGGAAGCATCTGTGCCAGGTATTGCAGAAGCTGCAATTTGTTGAGCAACTGTGCTGTCTTTTGATGCCAAAAGTCTCATATTTTCACGAAACTTAGCTTTAGTGCATACATGAGAAATTCTTTTCCCCAGAACCAAGAGGCATTTGGAACATCTGTGGTCAGAGGTTGAATTTTTATTCACAGCTTTCTCTTTACATGTCGTCATTTTTCTGACTTTTTCAAGAGGATGGGATTCAATTAGCTTCAGATGCCCAACTTGACATATAATGCAATCACAGATCAGTCCGCTTGCAGGTCGCCTGACACTGATGGTTTCAAAGTCATAAAGTCTTAGCATGACAACCTCTTTTCCATCAAGTTTTCTGCGCAGTATTGAACATCCTTCACAAATCCCATTTGGCATTCGTTCATCTTCAAAGTTAATCTTTTGTTCAAATAAGCTTGAAATTTCCTGTACCACTGATAGTGAAATTGTCCTTATGCTTTTTTTCAAGCACAAGAAACACACAGATTTCCGGCAATCTTTGTGAGTTTTAGTTTGATTGGGCATTTTGAAAGACCAAATGATTCTAAAATCGTAAAAATGAGTGTCTTTTTGTTTTGATGTATTGAGAATAGCCTTTTCCCGTAATTTTAACACCAATAATAAAAAAAATCATTTTATGTAAGAAATACAGGTATGCTCTTTTTGCAAAGTCATAAAAACAAAAAAAAACAATGTTTTAGTGATGCAATAATAAAATTATCAAATTACAGTATACAAAATTTTTTTGTATACTGTAAAAATGCAAACAATAGTTATGCTGTCATTTGTCTAGTTGCTGTAATATAATAAAAATAAAAACTCATTTTATTTTCCGAGACAAAATAGTTGGATTTCAAATTTTATACTTTTGAAATCCTGACATCAAGGGCTTTCATATGCACCCAGCCATTTCTCTGGGTCTGCTATATACAGTTATCATGAATTCTGGCTGGGGGTGATCCTGCCTTTTTAAAGTCATCAAAAATATTATAACTATCTTTTATCAAAAAGAAAACTTTAATACCTCAATTATAAATTTAATAAATAAAAAAATAAATATAGTAGTGTTTGCTAATCATTAAAAAGGTAAAATGAATGATATACTTTTTTTTTTCCTTTCTTTTCCTTACCACACAATTATAATACAAAAAATATTAAAAATATTTTTGAAGTATAATATAAAATATTTAAAAAAAAAAATGTTTGGGCTGAATTTTTTTGCTTAAAATAAAATAATAAATGTATACTAAGAAAAACAAACTTTGTAGTTTTAAACATAAAAATAAAATCAAGTGCGTTCTTGAGAGTTTCAGCATAAAAAATTATGTCATTGTAAAAATATGCTTTTTATATTTTTAATGAAAATTTTGCGAAAGTTAGAAAATAAAATAAAAAAATTAATTAATTTTCTAACTTTTGCAAGTTTGGTAATTTACAAAAAAGAAAAAATTTATAAAGAATTTCTATATTTTTTATCAATATTCTACAATGATGCCATATATTAAAATTCTCTGAAATCAAACACGCTCTAATTAATCATAGTCTGTAAATCAGTTAAATAAAGAAGGTATATTTTAAAGACTTAAAATCCTGAATAAAATGGAGAATGGGAGCTTTGACCAAAACTAAAAAATTTCTTCATATAGGTGTACGTTTATTATTTTGTTCCAACCAAAAAAATTCCACCAAAGCATTTTTTCAAACATTCTCTTTAATATGTACGCAACTTGTCTCAGCACTTGGGCATCCGTTTAATAAACTTACTTTCATTCGAAAGTTTATTATTTTTAAACTTGATAATTTTTTTATTTGCCTTGTCCAGAGATAATTTTTCAAACTGCTCTGATTGAAAAAATGCTTAAAAAGGTAAACGAGGCTTAAATAAAGGTTATGATTGACCGATTGAGCTAAAACTGCACAGATCTAACTTTTTTTGTTAGACAAGTGTCACACATTTAAAAGGATTTTCTGACAAAAAAAATTTATATTTATATTTTAAATTTATATGTTTTTTTGATTTGTAACCAGCCTAATACACCTATAAAGAAAGCACTCTTTAATGTTTATAGTTATAGTTAAACTATTTAAAGCCCTATTTAAAGACACATTACTCTTACATATTTTTTTAAAATAAATATTAAATTTTTTTTCTTTTTTAAAACAGTAAAACCTCTTAAACTTAAACAAGAACAAAATGAAAACAAAATATATCAAACAAACTAAATTAGGATTTAAAAGTTTTTTCTTTAGTACACCAATATTTAAAGTTACCTCATAAGCAGTAGCAGAATATGTAATCTTTGGTGAAAGTGATCGAGCATAATACATATGAAATGCAACTGGAAGAAAAGTCATATAACGAAGAAATACATACTCTTGTTGACTTGATATTTTATTTTCCAAAAAGTCTGTGAACTCTAACCAATCACACCCACAGTTAATAGATTCCAAATATGGATCTTTTGTTTTTGTGTTTAAATAATGGTCAAACAATCCTAAACATTTTTTAACTTGCATTTAATGCAATCAACTTTCAGATTTTTTTATATATTTATAAATAAATAAATAAATATATATATATATATATATATATATATATATATATATATATATATATATATATATATATATATATATATATATATATATATATATATATATATATAGTCCTTGGAATTAGGGTTGGCATTCTGCAATATATATATAATTATATAAATATTTAAGTCAAAAATTACCTTGTATTATTTAATTATTTAATATTTAAGTCAAAAATTACCTTGTGTAATTTTGTCTAATTCAGATTCTCCCGAAACTAACTGTAATATGTGCTGAAACCTGCTAGAAGAGTTTGTATTCGAGCTCCTTAACTTTTTTTTATTAAAGTGTGGAAGCTGAAATATTTCTGCAACAATTCTTCTTGAGTCCTTTGTTAAATCTTTTTGACCTATTGTCATTGAACTGATGTCTTCTGGTTTAACTTCTTTCGATTTTTGTCGTATAAACTAATCAAAATCATCAAATCAATATTAGATTAACAAAAAAATATCTCCTGTAATAGTATCCCTGTAATAAAAATTATCTCCTATAATAATATCCTGTAATAAAATTATCTCCTGTGATAATATCCCTGCATTAAAAATGATCTCCCGTAGTAATATCCCTGTAATAAAAATTATCTCCTGTAATAATATCCCTGTAATTAATATTAGATTATAATTCTCCTACGTAACCTCCTGGATTCAGGCTGGAATGGAAGCTTTTATTCCTTCGCGTCGGTTTCAAGTCAAGCCTCATTCTACTCCATGGTTTTCTCCTTCTTGTGCGGCTGCTATATCCAATCGCAATCATTTTTTTTCATCTTTTTCAAAAGAACAACTCTCTTGAGAGCAAACGGCTATTTAATATTGCAAGAAATCGATGTAAAAAAGTGCTTTCTGATGCTAAACTCCATTATTCTCAGTTCACTAAATCTCGCATCTTATCGCAGAAGTTAGGCTCTAAAGACTTTTGGAAAATCTTCAACAGCATTATTAACAAGGGTAGATCTAACATTCCATCTCTCATTCATGGGACTGATCTTATTACCTCTCCCAAGGATAAGAACTATTTGCAAGGAACTTTTCTTATAATTCCACTCTTGAATCTTATGGACATTCTCTTCCTTCCATTCCAGTCAAACAGGTTGACCCATTGTTAGACATTCAAATCACTCTGGCTTCTGTTGCTTAAGTCATATCTCAATTAAATTCGTCTACAGCTTGTGGTCCAGACAACATTACTGTCACAGTCTTGCAGAATTGTTCTCCAGAACTTTCTTCAATTCTCTCTAAACTATTTAACAAGTGTTTGACTGAGTCTTGTTTTCCTGCTTGATGGAAAATGGCATCTGTGGTTCCAATATTCAAAAACTCTGGAGAAAATTCTGACCCCTCCAATTATCGTCCGATCAGTCTTCTTTCTGTTATTAGCAAGGCCTTTGAGTCTTTGATCAACAAATTCCTCACATCTCATCTTATTGTCAAATAAATTATAGTCTGACAATCAATCTTAGAGTCAAATAAATTACTGTCTGACAATCAGTACGTTTTTCGATCCTCTCGCTCAACGGCTGACTTGCTAACTGCTGTAACTGAAAGATTTTATCGTGCATTAGATGGAGACGGTGAGGCTAGGGCTATTGCTCTCGACAAAGTTTGGCATGCTGGTCTTCTCCATAAGCTTGCTTCATATGGTGTTTCTGGGAAAGTTTTTGAGATTATCAAATCATTTCTTTCTAACCGGTTTATTAAAGTCATCCTTGAAGGCCGACACTCTTTTTTATTTCCAGTAACTTTTGGGGTTCCCCAAGGTTCCATCCTCGGCCCTGTTTTGTTTCTTATCTACATAAACAATCTTCCTGACAACTTTTCATCTAAAGTAGCTCTTTTTGCTGATGACTCAACTTCATACTCCTGTCTTGACAAAAAGTCTTCTCTTTTCGAGTCTCCTCTTCTTTACGTCTTCTTGGATTATTGCTTACTACTGACCTTTCATGAAAACCATATATACAATCGATTGCTAAATTAGCTTCTGCTAAGGTTGCTTCTCTTTATCGTGCTCGCCATTTCCTTACTTCTGATTCCATTCTCTACCTCTACAAATCTCTTATTCGTCCCTGTATGGAATACTGTTGTCATATTTGGGCTGGTTCTTCTAACGATTCACTTTCTCTTCTTGACAAGGTCCAAAATCGCATTGTAAATGTTGTTGGACCTGGACTATCTGCTAAGCTTGAACCTCTTTCCCATCGTCGTAAAGTTGCATCTCTTTCTCTTTTCTACAAATACTATCATGGTCACTGCTCAAAGGAGTTATCATCTCTAGTTCCATCAACTGAAATTCATTCTCGTTTTACTCATCATTCAGCTAAGTCTCATTCGTTTACTGTATCTGTCCCTGCATGCTCTAAAAACTTTTATTCATCTAGTTTTTTTCCCCGCACTTCAATCCTTCGGAACTCTCTCCCATCTTCATGTTTTCCTGACTCATACAACCTTCAACTTTTCAAGTCTTCTGTCAACCGTTTCCTTGCTCTATAACTCTGTTCTTTTTTTTCCTAGTAACTCCTAACTTAATAGTGGTTGCTTTAGCCTAGTTGGGAGTGAATGCAAATAAAAAAAAAAAAAAATTAAATCAGTATTAAATTAGCACCTGTAAAAATTAGATAAAATCCTGTTAAAAGAAGAGTAACATCTGTTACAACAGATTAACACAAGTGCACAAAACAAATACTTGTTATAAAAAGATTATTATAGGCTACATACTTCATGTGTTTTTTTTAATATAAAATATTACCTGCTATGCAAAATAGGGGTATAAAGTGCTTATTAGGGGTCATATATAAATATTTTTTAACTTATTCTAATTTATCACAATTAATAAATAATAATAACTAGATATTTTTTATATAACTAGATTTATTTGAATAGAATAATAAAAAACCATTTTAAATAAAACCATGACTATGTACAGTGTTTGTAGCTGATTCTTTATATGAAATTCCCTGACTTTTCTCTGATTTTTCCCTGATTTTTCTCTGACTTTTCCTAAACTTTTTTTTAAAAATCAAATAGTTTTTGCTGACCTTTATTGATTTTAATTGTCAGTCTTAAATAAGTTTATAAATCTGCTATAATGAACTTAAATAACTTTTAACAATCTGCTATAATTTAACTATCTGCTATAATGAACATAAACAGACATGTTATAAATGTTATAAAATACTTATCAAATTTAGTTATTAGTTGGATTGCAAATATGTATGGACAGGTATGGATTTTATTACTAAGGATAAGTACGAATGAACACTATGAATAAATTTCAGACAGTTTGAACACTTCGAACCTTAATAAATGCTAAACAAAATTATGCAGCACATTAAATACTTTTTTTTTAAAACTTGTAAAACTTTTAAAACTAACACATAAAAAAATTAACTGAATTATATATGTAAACATAAATTAGTATCAAATCATAAATATCTTTCAACATAAAAAATTGTAAATATAGTCTTTTTAGTGAGGTCATGTTCAAAGCAATTTTATAGTTAATTGTACAAAGCAAAGTTTGTTCGAAAATACAATACAAAAATTGATCTCACAAACATTGGCAAGTATTTAAATTAGTTTGTACATAACCTTTCTATAATGAACAATTACAAAAGGCTTGCTAAGTTTTATGTTATTCATTGAATATAAAATACAAATTCTAATTGAAGTTTTTAAACCAAAAAGCCTTATCTGCATAAACATCAACATCATATTAAAATAAATATCAATATACAAATTATAAAAAGTAACATATGTCAAATTAGTTTTTTTCTCTTTTCCTCCGATAGCAACAATGTTCCCTCCAACTTTCCAGCATCTTTCATTTTCTCCTTTTTTAAAACATTTGCTTTGGTGACTAAAGAAATATTGTTTCTTTTTTGGCTTTTTCCACACACACGACAAACTATTTATTCAGCATTACTGAGGTTTTTGTAAGGAGACCAAAATGATGGCTTTCTGACATTTTTTATTTTAAAATCTTTGACTTCACTTCTTCAAGCATGAGTTAGTATTTTTGATGTGCAGACTTGAAGGCAACTTTCATTTCCAATGTAATCTGGACAGTGTGAGGATTGAGGTGGTTGGTGAGCATGAAATCTTGCACAAGGTGCCACCCAACAATAACATCTGTTGATCCATGCTAGACTGTCTATAGTATTCTGTTGAATCATTAACAATCTTGTATTATATTAACATTAAAAGCTTAATGTTAATATAATACAAGAAGTATTTTCTAATTTTGATACAAAGCTGGTATCTATTGACGATATTTAAAAGATATATTATCTGCATGTGATTTGGATCCATTATTTGGGTTATAGTTATTTTTGTTTGTTTTTCAGGTAAAAAAAAAAAAAATTTGTTTTTACTTTTTCTTCTAGTTTTTATTTTTTATTAATTTTTTCTCACAAAACTTTGACCAATTATATTTTAGTAATTAATGAATTTAATTTTTTAGCCTAATTTACACATTTTTAGTTAATTTTTTTTTTATACCTGTCCATGAGGAAGAGTAACCAATTTGACAACAAATTTGACAAACAGATGACAAACTCAAGATAATTTGTAATGTTGACGTCTTTGAAGTAAAAATCACCCCGGCATTTATTCCTTCAATCATAGCCAATGAAAAAACTTCTGATTCATTTCAAAATCTTTGAGAATCAAAGAAAGATTTGAGAGTCAACTTTGAGTACTGGTTGATGACTTTATCAGAAGAAGAAGAAGAAGAAGAAGAAGAAGGAGTTAATATACCAAATGAGATAAGATGATGCAGCAAAGTTTCCATTTGACTCCTTCTTGCTTCATATGTACTCTGAGCAAAAGAATTTGGTTGAAAACAAGTCACAAAGTTAAAAACCAAAGAATTAAGCAGACATTTTAAAATAACCACAGAATCAACCAAACATCTTTTAAATAACCACAGAACTGAGTCGACATCTTTTAAATAACTTATTAACAACTGAAATCAAAATTTGAAATCAAAAATTGAATCAAAAATTTGAAATCAAAAATTGAAATTTAAACTTTTTATTATCCTTTAAATTAACTGTATCTGAATTAATTAAATTAATCAACTGAACTGTTCTTTAAATAATGCTTTGAAATGGCGCACAACCCCATGGGTTTATATCACACTATAAACTATATCACACTATAAACTTTATCTGGTCCTATTTGAAAAGATTATGCAATTTCACTGCCAGGAAAAATAGTTAGGAGTAAATTATTTGTGTCTTCATTTGATTGTTAGAAATTTTACTCAAGCAACAATTTGATAATTTCTGCACAAGTTTTCTTAGAGCTTGATACAATGAGTTCCAAAGATTTTTGCTTCATGTTTTTTTTTTAATCATTTAATCACTTACCTTCAAATGAAAATCCTCCATTATAATTTGTGAATTACCTGTTTT